AGTCTGTATGAATGAATAACCTCTGTCATACCTGTTATCCAGGCCTCAGGATCCTCCCTCACGGGAGTGACACCTTGAACTGCCTGTGTAGCCTCATGCAGAGTCCAGGGTCTGAACACATAGATATGCGGAAGTTGATGTTTAATGTGTTTTTATTATGTTTTGATTCTCATTACAAGACTGGTTTGGGTTTTTGAATCTACTTATAATCACATTTTTACATTTTAAGGTTGTTCTTCTACATATTTCATGATTCTAATGTTTTTATAAGTTTGATGTTTTCTTTACCCCCATTAGTCCTAAATCATTTTTTTTTTTTGTTTCAGATTGTGTAATTTGATATTCCACTCATACATTACCTATTGGAGAAGGGCAGAAAGAAAAAACAGGATCAAATGAGACTAACATGTTTGGATTAAAGAGAAAGTTCTTGTGTAAAGGCACGTAGATAGCAAAATCTTAAAAAACTAAACATTAAAACAATATAATGAAAATAAGAATACTAAGAAATTCGAAATGTAATAAAATAAAGCTTTTTTCCTGAGAATAACATGACCCGTACTGAAACTGTCTCAGATCAGGGGCCTCATGTACAAAGACTTGCGTGGATTTCTTACAGAAACGTGGCGTACAATGAAATCCAGCAAATGCGTACGCAAAAATAAATCAATAATAGTAATAAAAAAATGCAGATGTATCACAGCGTGCGTACGCAGGAATCCACGCACATTTCTTTTGTACATCACAATCAACGTGGAATTGAGAGCATGTGAGACTCCTCCCTGACACGCCTCCATTTACATGTTAAACAGATGCTAATTACTTCCTGCATGAGTGAAGGACACGTTTGAGTGATCCCTGTGTGATCAGAAATGATTTCTAGATTCAGGGAAAAAAAATCATGTGTGTCTGGCGTGAACAATAATCATTTTCACATCGTTGTTTCCCAGAATCACCTCTAAGTGTCGCCAGTGAGTTGGCGTGGGGCTGCGCACATTTCCACGTTCATTTCAGTTTTGATAAATCCTGAGACCGGAGTTTTGCGTGGAAAATGGTGTACGCAAGTTTTTGTGCATTAGCACCGTTGATACATGAGGCCCCTGGTCTGTTTCTGCAGCCGTCAATTCAGCTGTAAACTAGTTTAAAAAGAGTTTCATATGTATTTTATGAAACCTGATATTTTACTATATTTTTCTCTGAGGTTTTTATCTCTGAACCATTTTAGAAAATGTTCGAAGCAATAAAAACTAAAAMTTATTCAGAAGTTTGTGCTTTCAGAACATTTTGTACAGTTAAAGTACCAAATAAGTCTGACTCCTGAATGAACAGTCATGAAATTTTTATAGTCTGACTGTTACATAAACACCCGAATAAAGCTCATCTAGATATGATTAATCTAGATGTAACTACCATCWGGGTTGCATCATATATGTGAACTCCTAAATAAAAGAATCTGAAGATTTGTGCCAGAGCCCATAAAACACTGACTTCCTGTTGGTCACATGACCTCCTGACTGACGGCTCCTTCACCAGATTTCAAACCTCTTGTCTTTTTTTAAAGGTTTTTTGTCTCTGAAGTTGTTGCTGAAGAGTCTGAAAAAGAATGAAAGAAGAGCAGATAGCAGTCATTCAGTTGCCTCAGATTACCCATGATTCCTTTGGGGAGAAGGTTCTCCACTGATGGACGTTTGCTCACCTCACAGAGCCCATGGACGGGTTGATGGAGAGCAGCTGGAGCAAAACATCAGTGGAAGCATCAGAGATCTGATTGTGACTCAGACTGAAACATAAACACGTTATGTTAGATTCTACTGATAGAAGAATAAATCTAAACCTTCAGAGTCAAACGATTCTGTTCCTTGTGTGCAAACTAAGGTCTGATGAACTGTAAAACTATGTTCACACTAAAGGAAAAAGTGATTTATTTTTGTTGTTTAATGGGTCATATCAGATGATTTCATGAC